CGGCGGTGCTTCAAAATCCAACATCAGCAGGGGCATGGCTGAAGTGATCAGCAACGAGATGGTGCTACACGGACCCATTGCTGGCTCATCGATCACATCCAAACATTTCAATAGCAATGTTAGAGTTGTTTCATAGGCTCCTTGTATCGTGGTACCTTAAAAAATCGTCATAAATATTCCCATTTTTCGATGGAAAAAATTTACAAAGATCACTGATTATTGATGATAATATACCACGTTTTTAATCATGATAACCAAATCACGATAAACCCTTCACAGTAAGATTCTTGATAATTAGTTACAAATCGACTACACCGTGCGTTCATGCGTCATAATCCAATACCTACAGTATTAGCAATGACCAACCTTTCACGATTAATCCAACAATACCACTATAATTTTTCCAATCCAGCTGTGAGATTGTTTTTGATAATCGTTGTAAGCAGAGTGCTTTGTCCGAAGCTGCTGCATCAAATATCTACAAAATGCAAGCAATGCGTAATGGAAAGTGTATTCGGAACAAGAAAAATAAGCTTTTTCAAAAATTAATAACTGCACACACACACACACACACATGCACACACACACACACAAACACACACGAAGAAAGAGGAAAACAGAAAGTGGAAAAAAGATTTGGCAAATAAAATGAAATTCTTTAAGAATTCTGAGCAATTTCGAGCCCGTAATTCACCTTGCTGATGTATAAAAAGTCAATCTATCGCGCCTTTGTCATTTAGGATTCCAAGGTCAACCTGGCTGCTACAATCGGGCTCAATGAAATTAAAAGCTAAAATAAAGGCAAGAAATTTCGTCAGAACGAGCCGGACGTAAAATAGCATGTAATACAGCTAAGATGAAAAATCTCTGTCAAGAAAAAAAAAATACTAAAATTATTTAAAAAAAAGACACTGTATCAAAAAATCAGAATCTATATCAGAAATGGTGTGGAATTCTTTTTCTTTTCCTTTTCCATTAAGCACTGCGACCGTCAATACTGACGAGGTCCGTTAAGGTATTAAAGACGCATATGATTAAGACGCACCGTCATCAGCTTGCTCCTATATAAGCTACGAAAAATGAAGCTACCGAAAATTTTGCCAGCAGGTTTTTACTGTTAGCAGTTACTACCACTCGGAACACTTTCAACTGCCTACACCTCTTACACAGAAGTAAAATACCTTATCTTTTAAAGCAAATCCATACATGCCAAAACGTTAAGAAAAAGCCATATTCCAAAGAAAAACAAGGCGCAAAATTAGAATCTATGATGTGGGATCAAAAATGATGTGGGATTCTTTTTCTTTTCCTCTTCCATTAAGCACTGTGACCGTTATGTTGACGAGGTCCTGTTGCGCGGTGTTGAGTTAAGACGTATATGACTTAATGAACCGAAACGTCTTATCTCACTCTTACCCTCTCTTTTCATACCATTCTTTCATGCTGTAATCTACTGCGCCTTTGCCATTTAGGCTTCCAAGGTCAACCTGGTTGCTACGATCGGCTTAGCCAATAAAAATACCTTATCGAGCAAATGAAGTGCCAGAAGATATTCGTTGTCATAGTTTGATTCAAGCATTGCAACTGCTATTAGTAGCAGTCGTGAGAGGGCCGAGAAATCTTCTTCCCCAACACCGTTGTCCATTGTTTTTAGTGCTGTTGCACTTTTACTTCGACTCAAACCCGTTGGTGTTTCACGTTCTTCATTCACCAGCACCGAATGTCGCACATCTGAAAAATATCCATTTGGAACTTTCG